GGTATTTAGTTTGATTTTTAATTTATGTTCTCCTCCCATCCCGTCTCGTAATTCCTATTCCCATTTCATTCCATTAAAATCATGTTCCAAATTCTTGTTTGCTTACCTTTAAATTCCATACAATATATATTGTGAGTTATGCGGATTAATATGTATGCTGTTAAAGTTACAAATATATTTTAACAAATTTATTAGTGTTTCTTTCTTTGCTAATTTTTTCATATTTTTCTTTTCATTGTTTAATGATATTTAATTCGATTTTTTGGACTAAAAATAAAAATTTGAGATACATCTATAAAAGGGATATACTATTGCTGCATAATTTGTTCTGAATGAAAAATATATAATTAGTTCACATTATTTTGAAAACTGTGTGCAATATATTATGGATTTATTTAAAGAAGATCCGGTTGAAAAAGAAAAATAAGACACAAAATATTTCGAAATTAATATGTACAATCTATTGTTTAGATATTTCTGAAATTTACTCTAAACGAATGTCATAATGATAATTACTTTAAATTTATCATTATTTGAGTTTATTTCATAGTAAATATAAATATTTGTTAATATCTAATATCGTTTTTTAGAAATTGTGAAGTAAAATTTTGTTTTCTATTTCAAAATTTGTAAAAATCTATATATACATTTTTGGAGTACACTTAGCAAATAAATCCTAGAGTTTCTAAGCTAAGTATTTACAAAGAATGTCATTGGCATTTATTATTTACTTTTACAAAATTTAAATAAAAGATATTAACTAAACAATATCTTGCCTAATTTGTTTCTAAAAATCTCTATACAATCTTTCCATATATCTTCAAAAAACTTTTATAGCAAATATTTATATTAACATTTTGCATAGTAATAAAAATACTAATTTATAATAATCAAAATATTCACATAGAAAAATCATATACACATATAAGAAAAAAAAACTATATCTGTCATCATTTAAGCCGTTGCTTTATTTAAATAAAATAAAAACACAAAAACGTGAAATCATATATTTTATATGATAAATTTAAAATACATGTTAGTAGTATAAATTTAAAATCATTCAAAGAACGGTATACCACGGGTGAGATCCTAAAATTATTGGATTTTATTACAATAATAATTTATTTCTTGGATTTTATAACACTTAGCTAACAGGATAATAGACGGGTTTGGATCGATATTAATAAATAACTGTATATCACGGATGAAAACCTAAAATTAACAATCAAAATACAATTATACAATCTTAAACACAAAACAAAAGAAAAAATATTAACAAAACAAATACAACTTAAAAATTTTAGTTATAAAAAACCCGACCCACGGTATACTTCGGAGTCAAATATTCAAAATTTTAAAATCCACCATACATCGTTACTTAAAAAAAATGTATGTTTTCGTATCTATACTTTAAAAATTGAAACCTAAACAATAGTAATCATACACTAAATAATACATAGATAGATATCTATATTTAAAAATACAAATTAATATGATATATCTTCAGTTAAACTTAAAAAAATAACATTATATATATTTTTTTTAAATATAGTCCCGCGGTGTACCGCGGGTTAAATTCTAATCTATATATACATTTTTGGAACACTTTTAGCAAATAAATCCTGGGGTTGGGAAGTATTTACGGATGAATGCTACTTAATTCTCTTCAAATGGCTGCTACTTTTGCATTTTTCCGAGATGTTTCAACCCTACAATCTTCTCCGATGAAGTGGTGAGAAACAATTACGTCAGTTGTGCTACGTTAGTTGCTTGAACGACGATGATTCAAGACAATTAGATCTGATATGTGGTAAAGCTAAGTTGGTTTTTGTAAGTGATATTAGAGAGAGAATGGACGAGATTTTTTCTCCGGTGGATGAAAAACCATTCTCATCAAGTAAAAGATGGTAATGAGCCGGTCTTGAAGTTCCCTGAGGCATAAATTTGGTGATGGGACAAAGAAAAGTGGAAAGAAGGAAAGAAAGAGAGAAGAAGGGAACAAACGGTGCCATTGACGGTGTAGCCACCAAGGAGCAAAAACTTGACAATCCAAGACACTATATAGCGAGAGCTCCGGTGACGCAAGCCACCTTCACTATTAAAATGATAAATAATGTCATAGTTATGGTTACATACAGTTCGATACTCTAATTTTAAATTTGCATTCAAAGATGGGTAAATATAATTACGCAGAGAAACTGGAAAATTTATAACTTTGAAATAAACAATTACCTTTGCTTTTAGTACCTCGATTCCCACTTTCATCGATGAGAGATTCTTCTACTACTCCCTAATTAAGGACAAATATTCAATTTCATAAGTATGAACAATTATTAGCTAATACTCATCGATTAAAGATTCAGTTGTAGAAGAAGGAAAATAGTCTAATACCTGGAGATCTATATTTCATCACCGTCTCAAAGAAGGAACTTATTAGGAAGATGCAATTGAATCGATGCTTTAAGAAATGGTAGGTGTAATTGGATGCAAATTTCTGAATCGATTCTCTGTGTTTAACGAGATCAACCGATTCTGTTAAAGATTTGATTCCAAAGTTTTTGGATGATATAAATCATAATTTGAAGAATTGCTAGAAGGTCTGATTTTTTTTACCGACAATAAAAGAATAATACACTAACCAACCATATATCTCTAAATTATTCTACAAAACAGAATAATTTTAGAATTTTATATTTTATCCAATAACAAATTTAATATTATAAAATAAACACATTTTAATTTATTAACTATAAGTATAAAACATAAGAAAAAAACATGTGTTTCGTACCACGGGTTCAAACAAAATGATAAATTAGTTAGACAAATTATAAATAATTGAAAATTTAAAAACCAAATATACTGATAATTATTATCTAAAATACAATAACTAAAAGTTTGTCATACGGTGTACTGTCGGTTAAAATTCCGTGATTTTGATGGGTCAAGTAAAAATTTTAAACTATAAATATATAGCCATATAAATCCAAATAATACTACTTTAACTATAAAAGCTACATTTTATTAAAAAGGGGCTTTTGCAAAAATGCCACTTTTCAAAAATACCCATTTTTTTAAAACCTTATAAAAAATGCTCTTAAAAATATAAGATTTACCCAAATATGTATGTAACATTATTAAAAAATACACAAACTACATTTCTATGTATCTAAAATCTTATAAATACTTTATAAATGCATTTTAAATACCTTTAAAATATCTTGTAAAACCTTTGAAAAACTTTAAAAATCCTTTAAAATAACTTGTAAAACCTTTAAAAACACCTTATAAAACCTTATAAATACTTGGATCGAGTCTTCAAATAGTAGTTACAATCCATAAGTACCTTATAAACCTAATAAAACTTTATAAAAATTTCAGATTTAAAAAGGGGCATTTTTGAAAATGGACATCTAAAAGGGGCATTTTTGAAAAGAGGCACACCAAAAGGGGTATTTTTAACAATTTCCCTATTAAAAATCATACACGATCAATCGGTTTTATATATAAAATTTTTTACAAATTTTAAGCAATAATTTGTTTTTTTAAATATAGCCCTGCGGTGTACCGCGGGTTAAATCCTAGTATTTTAACAAAACTGAATCTTAAATATTTGTATTTAATTTTTTATGAAGTTTCAAATTCAATTTTAAAATCCTCCATTGATAAAACTTTTTAAACGATAGTGTTTTTAATTTTGAATTAAAATGATATTATTTTTCTTTTTATTTTTGATATAGAATAGTCTATTAGGATTGTTTTAGATAAAATCTTAGTTGGATATCTAATCTTAGTTTTTCAATTCTCATTGGTTAACAATTTTTTAGGAATTAATTTCAAAATTTCGTCCATAATTTATTGGAAACTAATAATTAATTAAAAGAATTTTACTATTTTTTCTTTAAATATATTAATTTTATGATTACTATTGTACCTTTAATAAATTTATGTAATATTATACCTTTCATAAAGTTATTTAATATCTAGTGATTCCCAATTAATAGTATAAATATTGAGGGAAATGGCCGAATTGGCCATGCGTTGGGACGAAGATGGTTGTGGATGTAGGATTCACACTCGATTGTCTTTAAGTATTTTTGTGGAGAAAAACTCTAAAATCAACAAATGAAAATAAGGATTTGAAAAGGAAAGTAACCAAGAAACTAAATAAAGCGAAAGAGCTTGGCAAGAATAAAATAGTAAAAAGCCTTGCAAAATTGTAAAAGAAAGAGTATGTTGTATTGCTTGATCGTAAGAGGGAAAAAGTTGTTCTCTCCCCAAACACATGCGTTTGAGGTTGTTTTTATAGAGAAAATATGATCAATGCGGTCATTTACTGCTCATAATCGCATTGATCCGCATTAATCATGTATGTTACAATTTGACCGAAACGGCTTGAATTTGAACTATCTTGGGCTTCGAGTGGATCTTCCAAACTCTTTCTTGTTGACTCCGAACTCCTGCGTCTTGACGCTGCCGTGAACCTCGAACAATATTCTCCTCGCTTCGGTCTTCTTTTATGCGAACAGTATGTTGAATAAGAGCGAACTCCGTACTGGTAAAGATCGAGCTCTTTATTAAACTGAATCGAACTCCCGACAGGTCGAGCTCGATCCTGGCAACGAAACATCTAGAAATCCAAGAGGATTATTATGTAATAATGACGTGGACAGATCCAAGTGGATCCTACCGAAGATGTGTGGGATCCGACCCCAACATTATTATGTAATAATGACTCGAGATCTTTAACATTCCGGAATTATTCCATGTTTTACGCTATTACGCCGATCTCGGATAATCAAATGATTTGATATCCCTGACAACCGTCATCATTAATTTTCTAATTTTATATTAATACCACGGGGAAAACCGTCCCACTTCCCAATATTCTCGAGGCGGTTTTCCGCTAAATAAGGTTAACTGGAACGACGGCTTTTACGGAAGCATACATTTACCCCTAAAGCTTTTACCAAACCAGAAAAAGAGAAACCTCTTAGTAAAAGATGTCTTCCCCAGCCGTCTATGTTTCGGAAAACGAAGATGACAGTCAAGGAATCCCTGTTCCCAGAGGGGATGAAGTCTTCACCCAAAGGGGAGACAAATTTGGTCCGCATTTCAGGTCTCAGTCGACCTCCGCTTCCCTTGGCGCTCTTCGCCGCCTTTGTAACATCCCCCAGGAAATTGAATTCTCTCTTCCTAGACCCAACGAGTCTCCGGAAGTGGTGCGAGAGGGTTACTGTTGTGCGTACGAAGTCTATTTCAAAGGTTGTGGTTTGTTTTTTCCCGTTCCGGAAGTTCTTCTTTTATACCTCCTCCACCTAGGGATTGCCTTTCCCCAAATGGCTCCCAACTTTCTTCGATACGTTCTGAGTACCCTGACTGTTTCGGCAGAAGCACGGTTTTCCCTCTCCACCAGCGAACTCTTAGGGCTATTTCGAGCCCGTGAATCCACAGTAGCGGGTATTTTCTCTATAAACCATATCCTTGATCGTAACCTGATCGACGGAATGCCCTCGAATGATGGGCCTTGGAGGAAATACTGGTTCTTTTTCCGAGTCAATCCCCATTCCGTTCAAGGTCTTTCTGGTCTTCTTCTCGCCAATTGGTCGGCTAAACTTGGTTAAAAATCCAACCTTTACTACTTTCCACTGTATTAAGTAAAAGAGATGGAATTCTTAACCCAATTCTTTGTTTCAGGGAACCAGACGATCCCCCGCCCAACCGTTGACTTTTTGTCCTTCTTTCGAATCGTTTCCGAGGGTGAAACAAATTGGAATTCCTTCACCCTTCAACGCATTCATAAAGCGGGGCTCGCCATTAAAGACGGTCAGACTCACCCCCTCGATCCTCCTCCCGAGGAGAAAGACGTCTCGAGCCTGAATGCCCGAGATAAAAGAAAGATGCAGGCTGAAATCAAGGCTCTTAATGATCAGCTATCCGAAATCGGGAGAAAGAAACGGATAGCTGCAATCTCCAGGATTAGTAACTTCCACAGGAAGACCCTCTTGGTTGATGACGGTTCATTAGAAGCAGCCCTGTCAGCCGCGGTGGATGCTCATGGAGCCGAGATTCTTAACAACCCTCCAGTTGCCACCGCAATTTGCCCTTCTGAACCAAGATGTGAGGGAGAAATAACCTCCTCTCCTTGTACAAAGAGGAAGGCTCCAGATTCCGATAATCTATCAAATGAGAGACTTAAAACCGTGAGATTAAGTTCTCCCCCACGAGTCTCTAGCCCTCTACGTTCTGTTTCTCCCTCTTCAGAACTTTTAAACTCCGAACTCCCTCTTCTGGGAGACAGAGTAATTTCAGAGGAAATAGATGAACCGAGATCGGAGGCTCCCCTATCTCAAGGACTGAGTGTTAGGACTCAAAATCCTTTACCCGCTTCGATTTCAGGTAAGTTTTTACTTAGAAAGCGAGCATTAGCAAAACTTGCCACAGATTGCATCTATTAATATGCTATTCTCCTCTGCTTCGCAGGCGGAGAAGAGATTGGAGACATCTTCCGAAGTTTCCAAACCAGGGAAGGGGCGTTCCTTCCTCCTTTTTCGGTTTGGAGGCCGGAAATCCGTCTGATGTTTGCCAATTGAGCTTGCTACGTATCCCATGTTCGGATCCTTTAGATTATGACAATCTCCCTTCCTTAGGTAAAAGCTTCTTGTCTAAACGACACATTTTTTTTTTTACTCCGAAGGCGTTTATGGAGACTAATGGAATGATCTTCCATTATGAGAACCTTCTTCATCAAGCGAAGAGAGAGACCGCAAAAGCTAAGAAAGAGGTTGATGATCTCAGATTAGCCAACCAATCCGAGCGACTTGAGCGGGAAAAAGCACTCGAGTCATCTAGAGCCAACGAGCAACGCATCAGAATTGCGAATGCTGAAAGAGATTCTGCGAGGTCTAATGCTCTTCGCTTGGAGGCTGAGCTAGAGGAGAATATGGCTTTGTTCGAAGAAGCAAATCAAGAGATCGAGCTTTTAACTAGGAACAGGGCTCGCGATATCGCTGAAGCCGAACATAATGCTCGAGAAGAGATGAGGGGATTCGGTAGGCAACTTATTCAATCTGTTACGAAGTTCATCAAGGACGAAGAGGTCTTGACTAAACTTCTAACAGATCGAGCTGAACTGAAGAGCAATCTAGACCTGATTAAGGAACTAGAGGCTGGGAGAGTTTCGTTCGAGAACGAGAGGAGCGAAGTTGCTGCCGAACTCGCTATGGTTGAGTTCGAGTTATCCTCAGCTTCCCATCCTACTCTCGATCTGAAAAAATTTTCTTTGGTATTTGGAGATTCCCCATCTCAATTCGAGGTAGGTGAAGGTTCTCGGCCACATGAGGATTCTCCAGAGGTGTAGGAACACTCTTTTTTTTTTTAAAAGAATGGTTTTGTTGAGTCCATGAGGATTATTCCGTTTGACGGAAATATTTTGTTCAATTAGTGTGACCGAACACAACCATGTACATGCTCTGGCATATGATTTGTTTTTTTTTAGCAAAAACGTTTGGACACGATTCTAGGTTTGCAAGTCCTAGCCCGCCAAAGAGGTTTTATGAATTGTGAGAGATGAGCTGATCAGTCTCACTTTCCTTTTTTAAAGAAAAAATCTTAATAAGTATTTTTCCTCGGTCTCTCGAAGGCGAGGATGGAGCTCGGCTTAAGTTTTCTTTTTATATCGAGGGATAAGATTTATAATTCATGAGAATTTTGTCATAAATACGACCAGGCAATGATTTTGATCGTTGCCCATGATGGCTTCGGAATCGCTGGGCCGTGTTTTAATTGGATCTGAAGTTTGCTCCAACAGGCCAACAATATATAATTATTTCTAGAAATTTGAACCCCTTTCTCCTTTAAAAGGGATTCCGAAAGATCACCATAGTTCATTATAAGAAAAAACTTGAAAAGATGCCGCTGTCTTCTTTCAGATCAAGCTCAAGAATAACAACTTCAAGTGGGAACCCATTGTTTGAGTCCGAAGACGGATTCTCTCCAAAGGGAGTTATTCACCCAACGTTTTTTCATTTCCGAACAGGGAAGGAAAGGGTCAAATGTTATGACTTCCTGGAAAAGGTTCCTTTTCTAACTCTTAGACTTCTCAGAAAACTATAACTTCCTTTCTTTGGTCATTTGACAAAATGTTCGTTTAAACAGATCGTCGGGAGACACAAAGCTTTATGTGATAAGAGACAAAGAATCGGAAGGAGGCGCCGTGCTCTTGATGAGCGCATAAAGAGGATGGAAAGAGAGATCCTTCGCTTGGAATCTGAACCGCACGAATGGGAGAGGAATGGTCTAGACATCGTGGCCATAATGCCTACTTGCCTCCGAAGATTCCTCCGCATGCTGGATAAATTTCATCGTTTATCCTTGGCGACCAGTGATGGGTCCTCTTTTGTTTCACGTTCCTCAGAGTTCCGGAGACTTCCGATGTTAAGAACAGAAGAAAAAGAGGAACCGGAGACGAAAATTGTTGATGACTTCTCCGGCCCTTTTGATTTATCTTCTGACGAGGGGCCATCCTCGGAAAGCTTTTCGGGATCTTCCACCTCGTTGGAGTCATTATCGGGCGAAGACTTTTGATCGAACACTTTCCTATTTATGTTTGTAAAATGTCACTGGTCTTGAAACCCAGCAACATTAATTACATTTCCCCTTTCGCTCAAAATTCGCCGATTTATTCAAATCTCATTTAATGCGTTTAATCTAGGAAATATAATTAGCAATTAACTCGATTACATTTGCCATGAAAATCGTAATTTCAGATTTGGGAAATCGTCAATTAATCCTCTTAAATGCAATCGAATAATTTTTTGAGTATAAAGTGGGTGTAGTCTGTCATTGAATTTCAACAACAATTCTACAAAAATGTTCAAGGGAGGTAACTCATCAGAGAATCCTTCAGACTTGTTCAAAGTGATGAGTGTTGATCCTTCGAGGACGTCGGACATCGAGCTTATAAAAGCAGGAGAGTCTGGCGAACCAAAAGATTCACAAATATTGAAGAAGGGAACTAGCATTCAGGTTCCGATTGTTTTAATCGAGAGATTGTTGCCTCAAGATCGTGTTAAGGCTGAGGAGTTTATCAATAAGGTATTTTCCATCCTAGTGATTAACTTCTTTTTGTTATTGCTAAACGTAGCGTTTTATTTTCTTCAGCTTATCACTCGGCATGACGAGCTCGAAGATGAGAAGAAAAAGATTAGGAATCGGATAATGGAGCTAGAGAAACGTCGCCTCGATATTTCTCGCGAGCTTCATCGCCTCGAAGCCCATCCTTCTGATTGGATCGAACTAGGACTTCAGGAGTACGGAAACATGCCAGGTTGCATTATGAGCATCGTTGACTTCGCTGGTCAAGGAGCGGAGTTGTTCCGTAATTCAAGACCCTTCTAGATCCGGTCTTAGCTTAGCAAGAAATATTTATTTATACATTGTTCGCAACGTATCTTTATATTCATGCTCGAATATTGAATTTATAAAAACAGGATTCCATGACTGGAATAATATTTTTATTTTTATGTTATAGCTGGACTCGTGACTAGCGAGCTGCCTACGTACTCAGAATAGGATCAAGCCAAATCGTAGTTCAAATGTGTTTACTTTAGCAATAGAAATTTTTCAAGTTGATTATGTTCCAAGACCTTTGAACGGGATTTCCATCAAGGTCTTGTAAACGGTATACACCGTTTCAGATTTTTTCAGTGATTTGATAAGGGCCTTCCCAGTTAATACCAAGTTTTCCAGCTCCTTCTTCTTTTGTATTATCGAACACTTGCCTTAAAACAAAGTCTCCTACCTTTAAAGGTCTGTTTTTCAACTTTGAGTTATAGTATCGAGCGGTCAACTGTTGATAATTCTGAAGTCAAATAAGGGATTGGTCTCGCCTTTCATCGATTGTACCGAGAACGTCTTCTAATAATTTAGAATTCGATTCCTCGTTAAGTGGAGCTTCGCTTCGGCGCAAACCTGGAACATTCAGCTCGGCTGGGACTACGGCTTCCATCCCATAAACTAATGAGAATAGAGTTTCACCCGTTGCTCGCCTCGGGGTTGTTCGATAAGCCCACAACACAGGTTGTAGTTTGTCATACCATCCACCTTTTCGAGCACTCAAGCGTTTTTTAAGATTGCTGAGAATGGTTTTACTGGAGTCTTCCGCTTGTCCATTTCCTTGAGGATACCTCGGCGTTGAGTAGCTAAGTTTTATTCCCCAAGCGGACAAAAATCTTCAAAATCATTTGAAATGAATTGAGGACCATTGCCCGTTACTATTTCGTAGGGAACTCCATAGCGACAAATAATGTGTTTCCAAAAGAATGTCTTTACTACGGAATCTTGTATGCTTATATAAGCTTCAGCTTCAATCCATTTGGAAAAATAGTCCGTTAGAACTAATAAGTATTGGACGCCTCGTGTTGAACGATGCATCGGACCGATTATATCCATCGGCCACCTCATGAAAGGGTATGGAGCGGATACATGTGATAGAATTTCAGATGGCTGGTGAATAAGAGGAGCGTGCATCTGACACTTTTTACACCGTTTGACGTAATCAATGCAGTCTGAAATCATAGTTGGCCAGAAATATCCTAACCATTTGATTTTGAAAGCCATTGCTCGTCCCGAATCCGAAGAATGACTACCACAAAGCCCTTCCTGGACCTCGCTTGTCACTATTTCAACTTTGGGTCCGAAAATACATAAAAGATAAGGATCACTGACGCCTCGCTTGTACAATGACTCTTTAATTATACAATACTAAGCGCTGATGATTTTTAATTTGCGAGCTTGCCATTTGTTAGATGGTAGTTCTCCATTAAGAATGAAATTTTTGATGGGTACCCTCCAGTCAGCCCCCCAATCATTAGCGGAAGTATTATCCTTGAGTATAAACTTCCTTGGTTTGGGTTCGGAAGGAATATCAGGATCTTCAATTGTCTCCTGAACCTCTACATCACCTGTAAGTGACTGTTCGGTTCGAGACGGTTCTTTAATGGGAACCTCTTGATGCTTTAACTTTCTTTTTGACTTTCTTTTAGGAAGTTCCAATGGTGGAGTAAGTTCGTCATCTTGAGACTTTATTCGTGATCTGGTGATGACAAGTGAACTATTTCCGGAACTTTGTTTTGGAGTTTCGATGTATTCGGCCGCCGAAATGTTATCGTTTTCTGTTTCTTCAACCAAAATACTTCGCGAAGAAATACATTCAACGGGGATAACTCGTTTGAGTTCAGGATCTGAGGTAGAAGCTAGGGCAGCTAAAGCGTCTGCCGAAGTGTTTTCTCCTCTAGGTATTCGAACTAATTCAAATTCTTTGAATTTTCCGGCTAATTTTTTGACAGCCGAAAGATAAGTTTCCATTCGAGGAGCCTTAGCTTCGTAATCTCCAGCGAACTGGTTTACAACTAGCTGAGAATCGCAATAAGCTATTATTTTTTCTGCTCCAATCGCAAGAGCAAGCCGAAGTCCTACTAAGAGAGCTTTGTATTCTGCTTCATTGTTCGAAGCTGGAAACATTAACCGAAATGATTGCTCGATTATTTCCTTTGTCGGAGTTTTGAGCCTAATGCCGATTCCGGATCCTTGTTTAGAAGAAGATCCATCTACATGTAATTTCCATGTAGATTCCGTTTCAACAAAGATTCCATCATCTAATGGTAGTTCGGTTAGAAAATTAGCCAGAACTTGTGCTTTTGCGCTAGTTCGACTTTTGTATTCTATATCGTACTCACTGAGTTCGATTGCCCATTTTGCTAACCTACCGGACTGACTTGGCCCGTGAAGAATTGAGCGAAGCGGATGGGAAGTTAGTACTTCTATAGGATGAGATTGGAAATAAGGTCTGAGTTTTCTAGCAGATATGACCACTGCTAAAGCTAATTTCTCCATCATGGTATATCTAGTTTCTGGACTAGTAAGAGATTTACTTATGTAGAAAATTGGCTTTTGCTCACCTCGGTCTTCTCGAACTAAAACCCCACTTACGGAATGGTTAGAAACTGAAATGTAGAGATAAAGTTTCTCATCTAATTCAGGTTTTGAGAGAATCGGCGGTGTTGTCAGATAAGTTTTGAGTTGACCAAATGCTGCTTCGCATTGATCATCCCACCGAAATTTTTTGTTCCCTTTCAAAATTTGATAAAAGGGGAGACATCTATCGGTAGACTTCGATATGAAACGATTTAATGCAGCAATTCTGCCTGTCAATCGTTGGACCTCCTTTATGTTTCTTGGCGAAGGCATAGTAAGGAAAGCGTTAATCTGATTAGGATTAGCTTCTATCACTCTTTCGTGACTATGTACCCCAGGAATTCTCCGGAAGGCACGCCAAAGGAACATTTAGCTGGATTTAAT